GTGTTCATTTTTTTTTTAATTGTATCCTTTGGTATATATGGTTGTGACTATTTTCTTCCACTATTTGATCTGAGGAAGTGGGTCTGGCCCACGAAAGCTCATCATCTAATAAACCATCTTGTTAGTCTTTAAAGTGCTACATAGTCCTGCATTTTGCTTCAGCTACACCAGACTAACACGGCTACATTTCTATCACTATTCACCCTGAGTGTGTTTTCTGTACCAGGAAATGGTTGATGCAGCTCTGAGGAAGGGCCGGGTTAACTTCCCGTTTCCTTACACCCCCTACTCCATCCAAGAGGACTTCATGGCCACTCTGTATGATGTTCTGGAAGCAGGCAAGGTTGGCATCTTTGAGAGCCCTACTGGGACGGTAAGTGAGAGCTGAGTGTGGCTGAGCCTGTCCTGCGTTTGAATACTCAAGAGACTGCGGTGAACAGACCATATCACCACTGCAAGTTGCTTCAGTGTCCCTTCCGATCCTGTTTGGATCCAGAATTGCTGAGATGTCACAGAGTCTAGAGCTGTTGACCTTTGGCTTCTAATTGTCATGGACAAAAGGTACAAGGCGAAGTACCAGAAACATGCTGGTAATAAAAAGATTCTGCCTAGACAAAACTATATCCTAGGAGAATAATGGCACTAGTCTGACAATCAGTGGCTTGGAGACAAACCTGGAAAGCGATAACTCTGAAACAGGTCTTTGTGCTAGTCATATGATATACTGTAGTATCCAAAAAATACCAATGGCGATTCGAGTTGTATATTAAAAAGCGCAAGTCACTGTATGGAGGTATTACCCCCGTCAGTATGCTTGTGATGGGAATATACCTGTAGTAGTGTGTGTAGATTGTGTGCTTCAATACCAGAAAGATGTGACATTTAAATGGGATAAAAAATAAGTAGAAGCAGAAGGGACTGATTTTTAAGAGGGAAGTGTAAAAGGCACATTTCACTTTTAATGCTATCATATAATATTATTATGATAATATGAGTCTCATTATTTCAAATACTACTCAGCCACATCACTGGGGCTCTTGTCTAGCAGTGGGTTAGTGCCTCTTTATGGAAATCCAGCTTGTGAAACTTGTATTAATACATCTAATTTTGAATCAGTGCATCACCTCTTCTGGGGTTATTGTGATTAATTTTTAAAATTGATTTTCTTAAAGAAACAAAGTACAAAAAGGTAAATGACTTGGAGCTTTGTTATGTTTCTTGATACCACATTTCACAGTAGAATTTATATAATTGTGCAACTTTACAGTTGGTCAGAACTGCAGACCAGACAATACAAAACTAGGCAACACTGTATAGACATAACATGTTAGGGTGACAATAACAAAATAGGTAACAATAATAAA